TGAGTAACATTTAAATATAAGGTAGAGTGTAAATAGGAAGGTATTGGTGAGGCCTGAAATACCTAGGTCTTATATAGCAAATAATAAATTAGAGGTGTCTCGGGTGTTTTTAAATAAGCTATACTGCTGGCAGGGCAGTCGGGTGTTCACTCATTTACCCAACAACTTAACTGAGTGCCTACTATGTGTCAAATTTCATTGTAAGCATGTCAGGGATGCAGTAAACAATGAGCAGTGTCTCTTTCCTCAAAGAGCTCAAGTTTTAAGGGAGAAGACAAAGAAGTACAGAAACTATTTGATAACAGCGAACTTATTTGACAGATGAGTCATCACTCACTGAAGATAATCACCATGAAGGACATCTTTGTAGCCCACCGGGTCAGCTGGGCTCCACAAATGGCAGAGGGCCAGATCCCAAGAGTGGCTCGGCAGAAGTGTCAACACTGACGGGTGCAGATTGGTGGCCAGAGACTGCTTTGCGCTTAGTTTTTCAGGACCACGTAAGCTCCTGGATTCTTGCAGGATACAATTAGGGAAGAAGAGTCTGATACAGGTTTTGCCAGCCCTTGATAAATGAGAGTGTTGGCCAAATTGAGTTTCGATTAGGCAGTTAAGGACACTAATGACATTTCCTGCACTCAAGTGTCACAGTACATTGAAACCAGTTTAAAAATTCTTAAATTAGAGCCAGCCCTGTACTGCAGCAGTTAAGTGCCATGCAGAGGAAGCCAGATCCCAAATGGGAGACCGTATGCGAGTCCTGGTCACAGTGGCCTTATATGCCAGGGTGTGTAAGCACAAGCACATTGTGTGTGTGCAAAGGAACCTGATGGGATGGAGAACTGGAGGAAAAAGGATTGCAGAGTGACCAGGCCCATTTGAGGGGTACTTTCCCTCTGTCTCTTACATGCACATGCGTGTGCCTCCTTACACAAAATAATTCTTAAATTACATTGCATAGAGAACACACAGACTCTCAAGAATATGTTCGTAGGGACCAGCAGTTGGCGTAATGGCTATGCCACTGAACTCCCATGTAGTTGACTGTGGTTTGAGTCCCAGACCCGGTGGCTTAAACTCATGCCAGGCATGTGTGTGTGTGCGTGCCCAAGATCCCAAAAGGAGAATGGAGGAGAAGGGATTGTGGCGTGGCCATCCCCCCGGTGAATGATTTCTCGCTTTCTGTCTCTGTCTCTCTCTGTCTTTCTGGTGAGCGCACACGCCCTATAGCAAAAATTCCTCTGTTTTTTTGGTGGGGCCCCCCCCCCTATAGCAAAAACCTCTCAAAAAAAAAAAAAAAAAAAAGAACATGTTGGTAGATTCTTGGAGGTTCTCTGATCCCCCAAGACAAACTACTGTGGGAGGTGACTAATGCCCTGGGAATTATGCAACATGACGGTCTTGCTTGTTACCATGAGGATAGCTAGCCCAGGGACAAAGTAAACACAGAGAAGGGCAGGAACAAGAGGATATAGGAAAATGGACTAAAGCGCCAATCAAAACCAACTTGAAGCTCACAGAGACCTCACACCAGACTGGTGGTTTTTCAGCACCCTCGTCCCACCTCATTAGAAAGTTTACAGGGAGGAACTTAGACTGATCCAGCGGGGTCATATGCCCACCTCTGACTGAAGGAGTGAGTACCATGATTCATAGCCACCAGTGGGGTGGAGCTGCTTCCCAAAAACAGGAAGAAAGAGTGCTGGCCTGACAAAATCCACAGAGGGTCAGCTCCTTAGACAACTACATTTCTGTAGTCAGGCTGTCATGTACAGTGTTAACCCTTAAAAAGTTTTCAATAAGCAGATTCGAAATCAAATTGAATATGCTGGTCTGCCTGGTGCTCTATAGAGAGGTACCATTTCCAGAGTGAGTTTGGGCAACTGGAGAAAAGTATTGATGTGGTTTCCTTGGAGGACCATAACATGGATTTTAGGAAGGAGTCCACTGATAGCATTTGGAGAAAGAAGGAAAAATGACAGCCAGTGACCAGTTACTCATGGAACCTCCCAGCTCTACAAATAAACTTGATGTCCTTGAGCAAAGTGACTTGATATAATAGTACTCTAAAGTACTATTACTGATGTGTTACCTCTACCAGAAAGTGATCTCTAAGTGACATACTGTTGTAGAAAACAAAAATTAAAAAAGCATAAAAGAAAAAAATGTTCTTCTTCTTGAAGTAGTGTCACTATATCAAAATGCTTGAATGATTCAACAATGATACACAAACTTACCAGCTAGAAAGTCCCATTATATAAACTTGCTACTAGAGAAAAACTGGGGAAGTGAAAATAAAATAATTATTTAAAAAAATTTCCATTAAAAAAAATTCCCCTAAGGAAACTTAGGGACTTTAAAATTCCTAATTCTGGCATAACTTTTGAATTTAAGTTCTTTACATCAGTGTGTTCTTATTTCATGCAGAAGAATGACAATAGTTGCATGCAGATAGCGAGACTGAAAATTTTAAAAATATAGGTACACATTTTTTAAAGATTCCACTAGTCTTTGAAGATTTGTTTTACTTTTGCAGAAATGAGGACAAAAGTATAGAATTGACCCATCCACATCCATTTGGACCCTGACTGCCCAAGAACTGGCTTGGTCAAGGAGGCTTCATCCTGTCCCAGGGGGCAGAATCCCTGGTCAGGACTGAGATGCAGACTTTATTAGAGCTCTGTTCCCATCAAGTGGGCCCTAGGAATCAGATGTCTGGTTGTTAGCAGCAGCAGCCGCCCTGTGGGTACTGTGTGATCAGTAAGAGTAAGTTAACGACAGTGCATTTCATGTTCTAGTCACATAGAATGTAATGGCCAATACTATGGACTACTAGGTCTTCTGCCACGATAAGACTAAGAATGCAGTGTAAGTGGCATTGCGTTGTACCTGAAGTCACAAGGCATTTCAGATGTGCGTTAGAAAAGCCTGTTGTCTTGTTCAACTATCTGACCTGTCTTCCCCTCTTAATGGTTGTGACCACTGATTCCCTTAGTAATTAACCTCTAACCTCCCAGAAGGTGTTTCCTGAGATCTAAGGTAGGTGTCTGGGCCAGTGGTTCCCAGATACTTTGGTCTCAGAACCCCCTCTTAAGGGGCCAGCAGGTGGTATGCTGGTTTCCTTTCTCACTTTCCCTTTCTCTGTTTCTCTCTGGTCAAATTTAAAAAGAATAATAACAAATAAAATGGAATAAATAAATAATTCTTTAAAAAAATTATAGAGGCTGCCAAAGAGTTTTTGTTCACGTGAGTTTTATCTGTTGGTATTTGACATATTAGAAATTAAAACTGAAGAGATGACAGACAGCCCTGAAAGTAGGAGCACCTGATTCCAGACCTCCTTAGCTATTACCTGAGCCAATTAACACCTCCCTGCCCCGCCCCCTTCAAGAGAGCTTAATCTAGTTGGGTTTCCCCACTAGCCAATGACAGAACAATACAGGATTTAACAGTACATCCATTAAACAATTGTCTTAGACAATAAATAATAGAGGATTAAATTGAGTATAACAGAATGCTGTTTCTCCCTTCATTTGTCACCAATTAAGTCATAGTCTACTGAGGGATGATAAATACAACCACATTCCAGTGTTGATAGGGTGGGAATTACTTTCACGTGGAGTATCTCATTTAACTTTCACCACAACCCTATGAAGTAGTTTGTTTTACAGATGAGAAAATCGAAGTGTACAGAGCCTGCGTGACTTGTCGCAGCAGTTAAGCAGCCCAGTCAAGACTAAATCCAGATGGTAATTTTAAATTCTCATGGTCATAGTTTCCGGTTCAGGTGAAACTTGGAATTTTAGAGGGCACAGACCTGTAGCACAAGCCTTCCAGGTTTTTTACCCATCTTCCTATGGGACAGGGGAGCAATCCGCGTAGCAGATTCTCTAAAACAATCATCGTACTTGGCTCTGGTCTGTGTGCAGTGAAGTGGGTACGAGGGGGGTTCAAGACAGCATGGTATCATTCATTTCCAGCTCTGGGACAGAGGGGCTGCAGGAAGGGACCTGAACGTGGTGCTGGGCAGGAACTGGAGAAGTCGGATAACACACTACAGATAATCCTCAGGCTACTCCACAGGAGCACCAAAGCAAGCAAGCTATCTCTGCTCCGGTCCCGGCGGAAGAGATGTTGGAACTGAGAGACGCAGCGGAATCCGATGGATTTGAAAGGCGCCCACACACAAAGAAACGAAGTTAAGTTCCGGCTACAAGACACGCAGAGTTTGGCACGGAACCTTCCTTCCAGCTCAGTGGGAAACGCCTAGTCTACCCGGTCACCCGATTCAGAGCGGAGCTTTAATCCTCTGAGCCGCCTAGACAGTCAGCGCCCGGCACGCCCGAAGCGCCCCGAAGGAACTACAAGTCCCATGAAGCACCAGGACGCGGGTGGTGTGGACGAAGCGCCCGCCGATTGGCTTTGCTGGGCGGGTTTTTTTGTCTCTCTGCCGCCTCCTCTCGCTCCACGGTCAGAGGGCCGGAGCGAGAAGATGGCGAAGACGTACGATTATCTGTTCAAGCTGCTGCTGATCGGCGACTCGGGAGTGGGCAAGACCTGCCTCCTGTTCCGCTTCTCCGAGGACGCCTTCAACACCACCTTCATCTCTACCATCGGTGAGGGAGGGGCCGAGGCCCGGGACGAGGGGTGAGAAATGGGGGGCGGGTACGAGGGGCCGGGAGAGGGCGGGAGGGTGCCCGGGAGCCCCGGAGTGGAGACCCCTGGAAA